ACCAAAAACACAAAAAAGTAAAGGCACCCTTACATATTGTATTTGTGGACACCTTGAAAAGTTTCAACCTTTTCAGCATGAGAGAAAGAGGATTACTCTCTCAAAACCTTAGCACCTCTCTCTAAAGCTTCAGGATCAAACCCAGCAGTGTTGTTCGTGGGTGACCATTCATGGGTTACCATTCCTAGGAGCTCTATATTACCCGCCGTCGTTGATTGAGGCAAAGTGGATGGTTGAGATTGTACAGAAGAAGAAGACGAAGAAGATTGAGGGGAAGGAGAAGGGTTTGAAGAAGAGAAAGGAGAGAAACTAAAAGGGCCATCAGCAAAAAAAACAAAATTTGATTGAGAAAAAGAAAAGGAGGCTGCTATTGCTGATATTAGCTCTCCATTTTCACTTGTTTTTCCCATTTTTTTCTTTTACTGGGTAGAGAATTAAAATGATAAACAGTGTATAGAGAAACCTTGGGCAAGACAGTTGCCATGGAAGGAGAGGCGAAGAGCAAGACAGTTGCCAACGAAAATAAGGTTGGGTATCATCTGGGTTTACTCGGGTTGACCGGGTTCTGGAGGGTTGACCGGGTTTCATCGGGCCAAATCCCAGGCTGTTTTTTACTTAGACCTGGCCCGGACTCAGGACCGGGTCAGCCGGGTTCCAAGTTGACCCACCAGGATAGGTCGGGTTTTAAAATTACGATTCCGAGCAGTAATTTCTTATCACCATCAAAATCAATAGCGCTTGACCCTTTTAAGTTTTGCTTTGGTCGATTTTTTTTAACCTGTCTTTCGGTTGTTGGCTTGTTGCCGCTTCCCCCTTTGTGTATGTGAAGCAGGCTTCGGTTTATTTATTTATTTAAATAAAACAAATAAAAAAAATGCACATGTTCCTCTCTCTTCTCCACCTTTTATTTTATTTTGTTTTTGAATTATTTCTTACTTCTCAAAATCTATAGTTCAAATTAATTAACATTTTTATGTAAAAGTAAGAAGATGACTTGGAATTATGCAATATCTAAAAATGCAATTTTGAGATAAAAAGAGCTATTAGTTTCTCCTGTCCTCTCTCTCACGGACACATTTTCTTTATGCATACAAAACAGGCTCAAAATAATACTACAAACTGAAGGGAATAGGTCCCGGATCGATACACGCCAAGTTAGTTTAATAACATTGACGTTTAATTAAGGGTAAAGTCTAGAATATACAGCCAGCCATAAGTGGAATAGTTCGTGCGTTGGTTCCTGAGTCTTCTCTATGAACATGCCCACAGCCACCCTCGCGTTGCTGGGGACGAAAGAGTCTCTCTCTACGTCTTTACCCCACACATTACTCCCATGAAGACTTTAGAAATTTGGTAGGGACAAGACAGTAGTAAACAGGTGCTAATATATATATGCACTTCGATATACAAAAATAAAAGCTCCGACTAAAGGAGCAATGTACAGAGGGGTTTTTTTCATCTGAAACCTGAAAGTTTCTATTTCTGCTGTTGCCTTCCTCATGAGCTCCCACATGGATTCCCATCTCTTGAAAGATTCTACCAACTACGTGCAAGTGTTGCTTCCCACAATATACTTTTTTCCTGTTCATTTTGCTGAAGAGCGTCTCACTACGGACTTATTTGTTTGGGGGGGGGGGGGGGGGGGTAATTTTCTCTTAAAAAGTTGTTTTCATGGAAAATAAATTTTATTTTTTAATATTTAAAGTGTTATGGAAAATAAATTGAAAAATATTTTTTTAATATTTAATTATACCATAAAAAATAACAAAAAAATAAATTATTAATATTTTATTTTAAAATTTTTTATTAAAATGATGAAGATCAAATTTAATAAATAAAAAAATTAAAGAAAGATGAAATCAAAGCAAAAAAAAATTAATTTTATAGATTATTTCAAATAATATAAATATTAATAAAAAATAGGGATTAAATCTGATAAAGAAAAAAATTTAATTAAAAAAGGGTAAAAAAAAAGAAAAAAATAAGAATTGAAATTGATATAAAAATCAAATCAAATTAAATTTTAAAGGATAAAATTGAAAATAAAAATATTTAAAATAAAATATATAGCAATAACAAAATTGAAGTAGATTTTATTTTTATAATTGAAAATTTAGAAAATCTATAAAAAAAAAATCTTAAAAGTCACTTGTTCTTTGGTAAATATAGGGTTAAAGTTCCTTTTGTTTTCTTGATTTCAAGATAAAAAAATATGAATCCCTCTTATTTAGAAAGATATTGGATTGATTAAGTTTTGCATAAATGTAATGAGATTTAAACAGTATTATTAATTATAATGAAAATAATAGATTATATGATATTGAATAAATGTACTTTTTTAACCTAAATTTTATAGGTAGAAAACACTTACTCTATCTTATTTTTAACACCATAAACAAAATGTTAAGCTAGTTTTTTTTTTTTTTTTTGAGAAAGTTATAGTAAATATAATAAAGGATACGCAGACTTGGGCCAAAAACAGGTGGAAACACCATAGCCAGAAATTTATTTTGAATATAGTAAAGGTATAGGAACTTTGACATGTCCTTGATCAATTATTTATTTTTGCACCCAAACGAGTATTACAACACAATATTTGTAATTAAAGATATTGTTGGTGGAGCCCATTCCATTTCGAGCATTAATTTCCTATTGCCGTCAGTCAAAGTCAATAGCGCTTGACCAATCAAGTTTTGCTCTGGTCAAGAGTTTTTTTCGCCTTGTCTTCCGGCTTCGGAGTTTTTTTTTTAAAAAAAGAAAAAAAGAAAAAAAAGAGGTATTTTAAACAATAAGAAAAAATATATTTTCTTAAATCTAAGAATTTAAACCCAAGTGTTTTCAATTTATGATGAATAAATATAGAAATTTAGATATTTACAAACTCTATTAAATAAAAAATTTCATTTAATACTGATATTAGCTGATATTATTCTAAACTCGCTCCAAACTAAATTTCTGCCTAGTTTTTCTTACTTAGCATTGTTTCCCTGCCTCCTCCTTCTTGCCCATTTCTGCACCTTAAGCAACGCAGCTACTGTCGAATTCCGAAACGAATGCCCTTTCACTGTTTGGGCAGCGGCTGTTCCCGGTGGCGGCCAAAGACTCGACCCAGGCCAATCATGGACCATCACAGCACAAATATGTATGTTCATCTTTCTCTCCATCATTTATTTTTAATTATTTTTGACTTTTCAAAATCTATAGTTCAAATTAATAAACATTTTCATTTAAAAGTAATAACATGACTTAAAATTATAGAATATCTAAAAGTATAATTTTGAAAAAAAGGATTTATAATTTTTTCTTGTACTCTCTCCTTCTCTTACACCCACGGAGTTTCTTGAAGGATACAAAATAATCCTCGAAGCTTGCTTGGAACGCGGCTAGTTGCATATTAATTTTTTTTATTTAATTTTTTAAATTATTTTAATTTATTGACATTAAAAATAAAAAATATTATTTAAATAATATTTTAAACAAAATAAAATACTTTATAAAACAATTATTACTACAATAACAAACAATCTTTCAAATAATTGTTTTTCTATAGAGGGATCTATTATATGTTATTTATAGAGGGACATGGCCAAACACTAGTTTCAATCTCATCCCACTGTCTTGTAAACCAATGCAAATGTTGAAAGCTTTGACTTGAGAGTTTGATTTTTCCTGCTTTCCAGAACAGTTTGGGTTTTCTTTCCTGGTAGTTATTATCCTTTAGTTTTTATTTTTTCTTACATTGCTCTTGATCCAACGGCACTAGCAAACTGTGACACTGGCTGAATATGCCTATAAAAGCACTCCTAAGCCCTCACAAATAATCACAAACACACCAGCTTTCTCAATCCATATTTCTTCACTACGAGTCGTTTTTCTTGCTTGTCGTTATTTCCCTGCTTCCTTCTTTTTGCCCATTTCTTCACATTAAGCAACGCAGCTACTTTTGAAATCCGAAACCAATGCGCTTACACTGTCTGGGCCGCGGCTGTTCCCGGTGGTGGCCGAAGACTCGACCCAGGCCAATCATGGACCATCACCGCGAATGCCGGAACAACACAAGCCCGTATTTGGGGACGGACCAACTGCAATTTTGATGGGGCCGGGCGAGGGAAGTGCGAGACAGGTGATTGCAATGGGGTCTTGCAATGCCAAGCCTTCGGGCAACCCCCAAACACACTGGCTGAATATGCCTTGAACCAATTCAACAGCTTGGATTTCTATGACATATCTCTTGTTGATCGGTTTAATGTTCCTATGGCCTTCAGTCCAGTATCAGGCAACTGCCGCGGAATTAGGTGCGCAGGTGATATCAATGGACAGTGCCCAGATGTGCTCAAGGCCCCCGGAGGGTGCAACAATCCTTGCACTGTCTTCAAGACAGATCAATACGGTTGCAATTCTGGCAGCTGTGGCCCAACAGATTACTCTAGGTTTTTCAAGCAGAGGTGCCCTGACGCTTATAGTTATCCTAAAGATGACCAAACAAGCACCTTCACCTGTCCCGGTGGAACTGATTACAGGGTTGTATTCTGCCCTTGAAGCAGTTTAAAGCCAGGAATTTAGTGGTGTAAAATGATAATAGGGACCATTGCTCGATTCAACTCTGACGTTGTGAAATGCTGCCAAGGTCACATGCTTTATTATGATAAAATTTTCTACAATATTAACAGTGGCAAGACCCTTTATTTGCTCTAGCTGTTAAATACCCAAACAAAGTGCGTTTCATCCTTTCATGAGCATATCCAGCCCAGAAGCATTTTCTTCTTTTTTAACCACAGGAAACTACAAAATACAACTATGCTGCAAGCAATTACCTAAAATAAAACGATTTAAGTACTGCTCATGTTTGTTAGCTTCTTCCAACACGGTAATCCATTTTCCTTTTATATTAATCATCTGTCTTTTGTTGACAAAACCATTCTTTCCTTCTTTGTTTAATCTTTGTTAAAATCTGTTGCTTCTAAGCACTTCACAAGAGGTAATCCTAAAGCATTATCAGATCAGCAAGGCATGCAATAGCACAGGTCAACAGAAAATACCGAAGGAGAGGTAAATTAAAATTGTAATATATAAATACATAACTGATAATGAGGGGGATCAATAGACAATTTCCCCCCTTTCATTTTCTTTTTTGGATAATTCGTACCAGTGACCTTGTTCGTGACTAAACTGGGAAAGTCACCTCCATCTTCAAGCAGAAGCACCACCTTAAAACTAAAATTTAAATGTTCTTGATCTCCTGGTTGAAGCAGTACGCAGGAGCTTGAGTCACTGAATCATCCAAAAGCACTGCGCCTACGTCAAAAGTTATCACATGAGTGGAAATACCTGCAAATATATTCAGGTTGTGGTCAAATATTACTAAACAAAATACCTGCAAATATGTTCAGGTTGTGGTCAAATATTACTAAACAGCAAACTACAAGGAATAACCATAATCAAATGAACATGAAGCACTGCAGCTTCAAATTAATAATAGAAATCATAAGCGATATCATACCATCGTTAAAATCTCATCTGACAGGCCTCTTCGTATAAACATTCTCATAGTACCACATAGTGTCGATCTTCTCCCATGCATTGCGTAGATACCCATCAGTGACAGCAGTCCCTAGATATTCGGCTCCATCAAGAAAATCAGGCTAGGAATACCGACAACTATGAGGTTATTTTAATTTTGAGTTATTAATCTAATTTAAAAAATTAATTCAATTAATTCAATTTTTTTTATTAATTTTTTTCTTCATACTGGATTTTTTTATTTTTTTAAATTAATATATTTAATTATCATATTTTTATGATATAACCTTGCAGTTAGATCCATATCCAAAACTCTCAAGTCTAGTGTTACAGTCAGGGTTGCTTAAACTTGAGTCACGCAAGTTTAATATTATTATTAATATTATAAATATAATTTGAGTTAGACTTAAAGCTTTTGGGTATATTTTTATAGAAAAACCTAATACTTTAAGATTATAGTTGTTTTTATATTTTTTATGCAAGAAAAAAAATTAACTCACGGCTCACGACTTTGTTCTTTTTTTTTCTTTTTTTTTAAGTCTTTTACTGTAGACTTATAGTGTAGTTCAAAGTAAAAAGCCGATGCTTTTAATTTTTTTTTGGTTTTTTAATTAATTATTTTTAATTTACTTTCTTAATATTATTATTTTTTCTATTTAGTTATTAGAATCTTATGACACGGACTCTAGATTTAACAAGTTAACCCAGTTAATTCATATTTTTTTCTATTTTTCATTAGTTTTTTTCTTCGTGTGGGTTTTTTTCTCTTCGCTTTTTTCTTTTTAATTATTTTTTTCAATTTAGTTCATTAATATTAAATATTTTTTCTATTTAGTTATTATACTTTCATGACACGGATTTTAAATTTGACGGGTTAATCTTATTTGGAGGGTTAATCTAGTTGATTTTGATTTTTTTTCTTCATTAGTTTTTTTTTCTAATTTCATCTTTTAATATTGTATGTAGTCTATAATAAAAAGACTAATGCCTTTAATTTTTTTTTTTTTATGCCTTTCACTATAGACTGTATAGTGAAGTTCACGGTGAAAAGGCTAATGCCTTTTTTTTTTCTTTTTAATTATTTTTTTTTTCTATTTAGTTATCAAACTTTCATGACATGAATCTTAGGCTTGACAGCTTAACGCAATTAATTTAGATTTTCTTCCTTTTTCTTCATTAGTTTTTTTCTTCTTATAGTTTTTTTCTTTTTAATTAATTTTTTTTAATTTAGTTCATTAATATTAAATTTTTTCTATTTAGTTATCAATTGATTCATTTAGTTTTTTTTTCCCATTTTTATGACTTTGATCGTGAATTGCACAGTACAGTTTATAGTGAAAAGTCTGATACTTTTTGTTTGTTTTTGTTTTTTTAATTTTTTTTATGCCTTTGATTGTACACTGCACAATATAGTTCACATTGAAAAGACTGATGCTTTTTATTTGTTTTTGTTTTTTTGTTTTTAATTATTTTTTTGTTTAATTCAGTTTGTTAATATCACATTTTTTTCTATTTAGTTATTAAAACTTCTATAACACGAATCTTACAAATCTCCTAATAGTTTTTTTCTCAATTAAGCTCCTAAAGTGTGGCGTCTCTTGCAGATTGGTCCCTAGATGTGAATTTTATCAATTTAACCCCTAATTTTATTTATTAATCTCTTTTCCTATTTAATAACTCATTCCAGTTAGGAGTTAGGACAAGTCCACTGTTACTGTAGAAAATTGCTCCCCTTGAATTATTTTTCCACACGTATTAATTAGTCTTCCATTGTGTTTCTAAGAAACCACTCAATACTTGTCCGTTGTTTCTTTTTCCAATTCCAACTCTCCGGTCCTCCTGTATATCCTTTCTTTATTAAAATAAAATAAAAATGTATTAGCAATCATCACGGATAATGGTCTTTTCCACATGATTTTTTAATTATTATTAAATTGATTTGGATAATGGTCTTTCGGTTGTTGGCTTGCTGCCGCTTTCCTTTGTATATGCGAGGCAGGCTTCGGTTTTGTTTTGAAAAAATAAATCAAATAATAAAAATCTAAAAAACTATATTTTCTTGAATTTAAGAATTCAAATGGAATTTATGATGATAAAATGGGTAAATTTAGGTATTTAGAAGCTCCATTAAATAAGGATTTTCATTTTAAATAAAAAATGCACATGTTCCTCTCTCTTCTCCATCGTTTATTTTATTTTCTTTTTAAATTATTTCTTACTTCTCAAAATCTATATTTCAAATTAATTAACATTTTTATGGAAAAGTAAGAAGATGGCTTAGAATTATAAAATATCTTAAAATGCAATTTTGAAAGAAAAAAAAAGAAAAGAGTTATTAGTTTCTCCTGTCCTCTTTCTCTCACCGATACATTTTCTGTATGGATATGAATTGGGCTGAAAATAATACTCTACAAGCTAAAGGGACGAGGTCCTGGATCGATACACACCAAGTTTAATAACATAGATGTATAATTAAGGGTAAATTCTAGAATATACAGCCATCCATAAGCGAAATGTCCTTGAAAGAATATAAAAATAGGAAAGATACTGATAAAAACTTATTTATTTTTATATTTTAATTTTTTTAAAAAAAAATTAATTTTTTATTTTCAATTAATATTTTTTAACATTTTCAATTATCTTAATAATTTTATTTTAAAAATAAAAAATATTATTTTAATATATTTTTAAATAATAAAATAACTTTCAAACGTAATTATTATTATATTTTTATACATCTTTTTATTATTGCTGTTCAAATAGTTTTTTATGTTAAAATTTATATTAATAATATTTTTTTATTTTTTAAAAATTATTTTTGACATCAACATATTAAAATAATTTAAAAATATTAAAAATATATTAATTTAAAATTAATAAAAAATTCAATTTTTTTTTAAAATATTTTTAAAATATAAAAAAACTAAAACATCCAGAAGTGCTGTTAGCATTGATGGCGCTCTGACAACCAACTGTAGTTAAAGAGGAACCCACCCGTGTAGAAAAAATTGTTCGCAGGCTCTTCGAACGAGAGTCATGACTTCGTGCGTTGTTTCCTGAGTCTTCTCTATGAACATATATATATATATAAAAGCTCCGGTTAAAGGAGCAATGTATTTAACCTGAAAGTTTATATATATATATATAAAAGCTCCGGTTAAAGGAGCAATGTATTTAACCTGAAAGTTTATATATATATATATAAAAGCTCCGGTTAAAGGAGCAATGTATTTAACCTGAAAGTTTATATATATATATATAAAAGCTCCGGTTGAAGGAGCAATGTACGGAGGGTTTTTTTACCTGAAAGTTTCTATTTCTGCTGTTGCCTTCCTCATGAGCTCCCATGGATTCCCATTTCTTGAAAGATTCTACCAACTACGTGCAATATTGTGTTGTTTCCCACAATATACTATTTTCCTGTGTCTCACTAAGGTGCTGTCTTTGAGCCTTATTTGTTCGTGCGAAAATCATTTTCTTTATAAAAGTTGTTTTTTATGGAAAATAAGCTTTATTTTTAAATGCAATCACGTTAGTTGATGCCCCTACTTTCCATGAAGACTCCCATCAAGATAAGAAATATAAATCCCTTTTATTTAGAAAAATCTTGGATTAATTAAGTGTTTTTTTTATATGAAAGGTCCTTAAATATAAAAAAATTTAAATAATACTAGCATGAATTATCATGTATGAAAGTTGCATAGATATGCAAGGAGATTTCAATAATAATAATATTTGGCTCGTGGGATTAATTGTGATGTGCGTAAACTGCTCCGAACACCCACATTAATCTAAAAAAAAATAATAATAATATTTGTATGAATTATCGTTAACTTTAATCCTTCAAGGTTAATCTGCCTCACTTCTCATCTCTACGCACGCCTACCAAAAAAATAAGTGACTGTTAGAATTTTTTTTATATAAATTTTTTTCTATTTTTTGTGTTTTTTTATTATTAAAAAATTGATCAAATAAAATATATTTTTCAATCAAAAAAATCAGTTTAATTTTTAAAAATATTTTTTTATTTTAAATAAAAAATAATTTTTAGAAAGTGTAAATTTTTTAAAAATATCTTATTATTTATTAATTATATAAAAAATTTTAATCTTTTCAATTTATTTAAAATCGATATATAAGCATGTAACTCAAATGATTATATATATATGATTTATACAAGCTAGGGTCCACTCTCCAGGACACAAGAATTAAAGATGGTGTTTGTGGATACCAGTCCATTTCGAGCATTAATGTCCTAGTGCCGTCAGTCAAAGTCAATAGCGACGGACCTTGCAAGTTTCGCTGTAGTAAATACCATTAAAGTTATCATGTTCGAGGGAGTTTCTATGGTTATAATTTAAAAAATATAGTTATATAAGGTTAGTTGGATTTAGATATATATTTATTAAAAATTAAAGAGGTTTATGTGCAGAAAAGTTAATGTATAAAATATTTAGTAGTTGTGTTGGGTTATTTTTTAAAATATGTTTTACTTGAAAAAGATTTAAAATATTATATTTTTATTTAAAAAAATTATTTTTGATATCAACATATTAAAATGATTTAAAAATACTAAAAAATAAATTAATTTGAAGCAAAAACAATTATCAAAATTTTTCAAAAACTTTTTTAAAATATAAAAATAAATAATATTTTATGAAACTTAGTTAAAAAAAATATAAAAACTACTTCATGAAAATTACATTTCAAACTTAATTTTTTAGTAGGTTTCACAATAAAAAACATTACTGTATTTTTTGAACCGCAAATACAAAAACAGATGCAAAACAAACGCATCATTGTTTTGTGACTTCGGGTTTTTTTAAAAAAAAAAAGAAAAAAAAAGCTATTTTAAACACTAATAAAAAATATATTTTTTTAAATCTAAGAATTCAAATCCAAGTGTTTTTCAATTTATGATGAAGGAATAGATAAATTTAGGAATTTAAAAACTCTATTAAATAAGAATTTTCATTTAATACCGATCTAAGATAATATTATTACTAAACGCTCTCCAAACTAAATTCTATGGATGTTTATCTCTTTTCTTCACCATTTATGTTCTTTTATTTTTAATTATTTTTTACTTTTCAAAATTTATAGCTCAAATTAATTAATATTTTTATTTAAAAGTAAGATGACTCATGGATATCTAAAAATACAATTTTAAAAAAAGAAACTTATAAATTTTTTTCTAGTATTCTCTCTCCCTCTCTTACGCCCACAAAGTTTATTGAAGGATGCAAAATATACTCATGGCTGGTTTGGAGTTCTCAAAAAGTTTTAATTTGTTTTGTTTAAAATTATTTTTTTTATATTTTTAAATTATTTTGATGTGATAAAATTAAAAATAAAGTTTTTTTAAATAAAAAATTATTTAATATATTTTTAAATAAATTAAAAACTTTAAAAAATAACTATTACTATAGTAACAAAAACTCTCCCAAATAATAGTTTTTTATAGGAGGATCTAATGTGTTTTACGTCATCTAGAATACATGATTTATAGAGGGACATGGCCAAACACTAGTTTCAATCTCATCCCACAGTCTTGTAAACCAATGCAAATGTTGAAAGCTTTGACTTGAGAGTTTGATTTTTCCTGCTTTCCAGAACAGTTTGATTTTTCTTCCTTGGTAGATATTATCCTTTAGTTTTTTTTTCAAAAAAGTTTTCTTACATTGCTCTTGATCCAACGGCACTAGCAAACTGTGACACTGGCTGAATATGCCTATAAAAGCAGTCCTAAGCCCTCGCAAATAATCACAACACACCAGCATTCTCAATCCCTATTTCTTCAGTATGAGTCGTTTCTCTTACTTAGCATTGTTTCCCTGCTTCCTTCTTTTTGCCCATTTCTTCACCTTAAGCAACGCAGCTACTTTCGAAATCCGAAACCAATGCCCTTACACTGTCTGGGCCGCGGCAGTTCCCGGTGGTGGCCGAAGACTCGACCGAGGCCAATCATGGACCATCACCGCGAAAGCCGGAACAACACAAGCCCGTATTTGGGGACGGACCAAGTGCAATTTCGATGGGGCCGGGCGAGGGACGTGTGAGACAGGTGATTGCAATGGGCTCTTGCAATGCCAAGCCTTCGGGAAACCCCCTAACACACTGGCTGAATATGCCTTGAACCAATACAACAACTTGGATTTCTTCGACATATCTCTTGTTGATGGGTTTAATGTTCCTATGGACTTCAGTCCAGTATCAGGCAGCTGCCGCGGAATTAGGTGCGCAGCTGATATCAATGGACAGTGCCCAGGTCCGCTCAGGACCAG